TGACACGGATATTGAAGAGGAGACAGCCGACAGGACCTCAATAACCCCAGTTTCTACTGCGACTGGTGCTAGTAACGGTATGACTAGTGTACGTGAGTATAATCGCATGATGGATATGTTGGTGTCACTGCCGTTGGGCGATTCGCCAGAGGAGCGATCAACGGTGCGGGGATACACGTGGGGAGGAAACGTACCAAACCATGTACGCCCACATTTATGGCGTTTACTGTGCGGTTACATACCATCTGGCCCGGCCTCGTTCTCCCGACAACAGGCAGAACTGCGCCGCAAGCGTGAAGAGTATGATAGCTTTGTTTCTAAATACTACAAAATTACGATCACTGACTTTATACAACCGAATACGTTGCAAGATTTGGGCACACGCTCTGGAAGGCGAGGCGTTGGAACAAACTCAAAATTAGTTGGTGCCTCTGCGGGAACGATGGCCATGACAACGCCGATGGGTACCTCTACAGAGCTGATGGCAATTTCATCGGATGATCGTGCTATTCTTTTGCAGATCGCGTTGGATCTTCCGCGGCACAGTTATGCTCTTTTTCATTTCTCTCGCACCGCTTCTGCCTTGGCACGATGTCTGTTTTTGTGGTCTCGACGATATCCGGCAGTGGGGTATGTGCAGGGCATCGATGACATTATAGCGGTCTTCTTCTTTGTGTTTCTTGAGGGCGCTTTTAATGAGCGCAACATGCGTCATCGGCAACATGTGCGAGAAGGGGCGGCAGAGCCTGGGGATGGCGACGGTGCTCGAGCATCCGAACATGCATGGATTCCCGCAAAAGTAGTGTACTCTCGTGACATGAGCGAGTTGGGTGCCGCCATGGAGCAACTACCTGCCGACCTGTTTCAGGCTGCAGAAGCCGATACATATTTTTGCGGCGGCTTTTTTCTCTCGTGGTTGCAGGATAACTTTGTACATGGACAGCCTGGTATTTTGCGTAGTATAGGGCTTATGGAGGCACTCTTGAAGGCGGTGGATTTTGTCCTACTGGACTCTATCCTCTCAAACGAGATCAGACTGATGGATTGTTGCTTTCAATGGGTACATTGTTTGCTTGCACGAGAGCTGCCGTTGGAGTTGTTGGTACTTCTTTGGGAAAAGTATATGGCCATTGGGAATAGTGAGGCGGTGCTGGACTTCCACAGTTATGTCTGCGCGGCTCTTATGATGCAGTTGCGCCAGAAGATTGTGGGGCAATCTGTTGATGTCATCATTCATCTGCTGAAGGACCCGTTGGAAAAACGGGCACGACCACCGCAAGGGTCCCGAAATAAGGACGTGTATGATTGTGCGTGGCTGGAAGGTCTGATTTCAAGGGCATCACAACTCCTCCGTGAATACCCGGCATCCTCGTTGACATGAGACGGTCCGCTCGTTTCTTCTCTCCTTCTCTGTTGGTAGCAGCGAAGGGTGCGCCTACATCCTCGTATGTTCTCAGTGTTATGCATTACTCCCCCCACCCCACCCCTCTTTTTGTGTCCCCGTGATCCGAGTCAATTGACGCGCATCTTTCCAACTCTCTTTTTCTCTCACTTTTCCACTATTATTTGTTTTTCTGTACATATATATATATGTATATATATTGTGTCTGTGTGTGTGTGTGTGTGTGTGTGTGTGTGTGTGCGTTTGTTTCAATTGCTTCACTGCAAGGCCCGTAGGGATTTCTTCCTCCTAGTCGACCGCATCTTCCCACGCCACATAGAAGGCATACGTGAGGAAGAACACCCACCACGCAGGCAAGCAAAAACACAAAAAGAATTAGAAAGCCAAAGGAAACAAGAAGCCTTTGGCTAAAGGATTAAAAAAAATAATGGGGACAAAGTCAAAGAAGAAGGCAAAGACGCGTCTTGATGCGTACTACCGACTTGCAAAGGATCAAGGGTTTCGTGCCCGCTCTGCGTTTAAACTTATTCAACTAAACCGCAAGTACGACTTCCTTGCGAAGAGTCGTGTGCTTGTCGACCTCTGTGCTGCGCCAGGCGGTTGGTGCCAAGTCGCTGCGAAGCATATGCCAGTGGGTTCTAAGATTGTTGGGGTGGATTTGGTGCCGATTGCCCCAATTCGCGGTGTGAAAACGTTTGTCGGTGACATCACAGATGACAAGACACGGAAGATGATCGTGACTTACTTCAAGAAGGAACCCGTGGACTGCGTCATTCATGATGGCGCCCCTAACGTGGGTGGTGTGTGGTCACGTGATCTTTTTGAGCAAAATGCCTTGGTTCTTCACGCTGCAAAAATGGCAGCTTCCATGCTAAAGCCATCGGGGTGGTTTGTCACGAAGGTCTTTCGCTCTCAGGACTTCCACAAACTCATGTGGGTCTTGAAGCAGCTTTTTGATAAGGTGGAGGCGACAAAGCCACTTGCGTCTCGTATGGAGTCGGCTGAGATTTTTGTTGTCTGTGCCGGTTTTAAGGCACCAAAACAACTGGACCCTTCCATGTTCAATGCACAGAAGGTGTTCTCCGATGTGGGCGAGGAGAAAATCCTGACGCCCTCTGGGGCGTTGGTCGTGCCCAAGTCGAACGTGCCGACGGGATACAGCGAGTTCGCCACGGTGTCACACCATGTTGCCTCCTTTTCCGAATTTCTCCACTGCAGTGATCCAAAGGGTTTTCTTCGCTCTCATCACGAGCTGCGCTTTTCCGCTGCGGAGGACAAAGTCTACCTTAAATCCAAGCACTCCAAGAAGGAGCTTGTTTATTTGTGCGGGGATCTCCAGCAGGTGGGTGACGCGGATCTACGGCGGATGCTGCGCTGGCGGGAACAATTGTTGCGGGAGCAGGCAGCGATGGCTAAAGAAGAGGATGGGGAGGAGGATGCGGACGACGAAGAGATGGGCGAATACGAGGGGACGGGTGATGATGACGATGGCGGTAGCGTAGGGAAAGGCAGCGACGACGAGGGGATTGACCTTGACAGTGCGGAGGGAGTCGCGAAGATTGCCCGGGAGCTGCTGGAGCTGCGTAAAAGGCAATCCAAGCTGCTGAAAAAGAAGCAGAGGAAGATTGTTGACCGCAAGCTAAAGCAGATCAAGGGATTAATCAACTTTGATCCCAATACAAGCGCGGAGGATATGACAGAGACGGATGGGTTGATGGGGGACACGGAAGGAAACATGCAGGGCGAAGGCGACAACGACGATGACGATCCGGATGGAAATGACGACGAGGGGTTCACTGTGGAGAAGCTGGCGGCGGTTGACGAGGCGCGTCTGGCAAAGATGTTTGACAAACACGGGGAGGAGCTGGACGAGCGCCCCAACGACCCTTTGAATCCTGTCATGAACGCTAACCTCAACGCGGAACAGGACTGGGACTTGGGCCAGGAGTCAGATGGCAACAGCGATGCCAGTGAGGGCGGAAACGGACCGCTGCAGCTCGTGGAGGGTGAAGAGGATGGTGTGGATGTAGATAATTACGGTAACTACATCCCTGCGAAACGCTCCGCTCGCGTTGCATTGTACGATGCGGGACTCGGAGAAGAGGAGGACGACGAGGATACACACAACGAGGAAGATGTTGCGCTGCAGAAGAGGAAAGCGAGGGATCAACAAGACCTTGAGGACGCCGGCAAGCAGAGCAAGTGGCTTAGGCATCATGTAAACATTGAAAAGGTTCTGAATCAAACCTTCCCAAAGCCGCATGATAACAACAGGAGGAAAAAGCGGCTGCTTGAGGAGGATCGTGTGGAGCTGACGGCGTCCTCTCCACTTCACGATGGCGACCTCAACGGCAGGGTTGACGCCACACGCAAGAGGATG